AGTCCAGACTCCCCCATCCTCATACGTTTCCAGGCACGCAGAACTTCTGGGCAGCGGGTGTGAATTCAAAATGAGAGAAATACGATTATCATTAAGAACATTTGGGCAGCACTTCCTGAGCCATTAAGTCACCCGTCACCCAAGCCAGACACGTGGAAATCTTCCCAGGCCCTTACCGCCCCAGGGGGTCGGTGACGAGTTCTGATGACTTAACCCATGAATGTGCAACAGCTGTGCCCCTCCACCCCCCTCCGCCTGGTCCCCTCTCCAGACGCCTGCCACACCTTCCAACGGGGCTTCCTGCGCGAGTCCTGTCCACCCCCGACACCTTCTCATGGCCGTCACAAGAGGAATTTTTCTAGAACACAAATCCGGCCTATCTCCCCCTCCTCGATGCCCACCTCCACCTCCTCCCATCCGTGTGAGACCCAGGCTCACACCCAGTCAACCAGGACCGTATGAGGCCCAAGATGCAGAAAGCTCGTGGAGGACCCCAGACCCAACAGGGACCTGGCCTCTCCTTGGCTGTGACCCATTCTACTGACCAACTGGAAAACCAGCCAACAGGAACTGCTCTGTTCTGATTCCAAAACCAATACTCACCACTGTGGAAAACTTAAAAAATGCAAAAAGAAGTATAAATAAAATCACAAGAATCACACCAAATCCCAAAGGTCAGAAATGCTTACAATTTGGCCCTCTGCCTTTCCATCTTTTTTATGCATATATGTGTGTTTTACATAAGTTAGAGCATACTGAATATACAGTTTTTTATCCTACTTTTACCATTAAACGTTAACAATAAATGATAACAATGCGATTATAAAATCTTTCTACTGGATGATTTTACAAAGTATCTACAAAAAGAAGAATTCTTAAATATTATGGAGGCACTTCCACGTAAAGCCGGCTGACTGAACCCATACATCAACAGAAGCCACTAAACAGACTCAGACCAGAGACTCACCAAAGGCTCGAGAACTGGGGCCCTGGGCGCTCAGGAAGTGGGGTGCAGGGTGCCAAAAGAAGGAGAGTGGATGAAAGTCTTTTAGAGAAGCCACGGTCATGGAGACAGAAAGTAGGACAGTGGGGGCCAGGGCCCAGGGGAGGGGGATGCAGAGTTAGTGTTGAATGGGGACAGAGTTTCCATTTGGGAAGATGGAAAGTTCTGGAGATGGATGGTGGTGATGGTGACACAATACTGTGAATGTGCTTAATGCCACTGAGTTGTACACTTAAATATGGTTAAAATGGTAAATTTTACCACAATTTTTAAAGCAAGCAGACGCTCAAATTCCATCTGCTCCTCAGTGAAGCCTCCTCCCCAGTCTGGGAGGAGCCTAACAGCAGGTCTGGTCTCTGCTGTGGGTGGCCGAGGCAGCTCTGCCTGGGGCCCAAGGCACAGGGGGCAGGGCTTCGCCCCAGAGGAAAGGGCATTAAGAGGAAGGGAGCAGACGCTGAGGCCTGGCCCCTCCCCCAGGCTCCCAGAGCTCTGGGACTGACCAGTCAGGGGAGAGACAGGGACTGACCCGGCCTTCCCCAGCTCCACGGCCCGCCGCTGGCTCTCCCGCGGGGCCCACGGTCAACAAGGCCCTGAGGGTCCCGTCCCTCACTCAGTGTGAGCAGACGACCGCCAGGTGTCTGAAGAGAGCCTTCGTGCCAAAGGTAGACAAAAGCAATTTGGAATAAAAACGCGCAGGAGGAAGAACACATCAAACGATACACCAATAACCTGCTAAGGGGGGAACGAATAGGTAATGACCTAGGAGGGGGCGCTGTGAAAAAGAAGAGTTCTTAAAGGGCCCAGACGTGATCGTGTCGATGTTTAAAACCTAAATAGAACGGCTGGAAAATAAGGTTGAGGAACAGCTCATAAAAAGAAAGCAAAAGACGAAGAGAAAGAAAACGGAAGAGGAGAGATAATATTGGCAAGTAGGTCCGGATCTGCCCACAAGCAAGAGAAGCTCTAGGTAAGGGTGGAGAGAAGTCTGAGAGAGGAAAATCGTCAGCAAAACCATCTCAGAAAACTCCCCCGCACACAATCCCAAAAGTTTCGCACTGGCGATGGAGGGATGGGCCCTAGTCAGGTGCTCGACAAATGTTTACTGGAAAGCTCCATGAGGCGGACCCAGGGGAGGAGACAGGTGCAGACCCAACCTGAGGAGCTTACAAACATGTTTAACTAAGACTCAGAGAGAAATGCACGTCCATCTTGACTCCATAACAACGCACCATCGCCAGAAGTGTCATCGAACGATGCTGACTCTGCAACTGGCTGCTCTCTGATAATTCCTATTCTAGCTTATTTTATTCTATTTCATTCCACTTTTGTTACAACACCTGTCACAACTCGCTATATTGATGTCACAGCCCACCACTGGGATATGACCTGAAGTAAAAAGAAAAACAAAATGCCAAGCTAGAGGGGCAGGCAGATGTTGCAACAGCAGATGTAATAAAGTTGTGTGCGCTCCACGTTGCTAAGCTTCGCAACTTCACCCTGAACCCCAGAGCCCTCCGTTGTACAGCTAACTCCGGGTGCCCCTTGTCTCCTGGCTGGGGAGCCAGGGAGTGAGCACTGCATTTCCAAGGACCCCTCTGACTGTTTTGCTGAGAGTAGCTCGTGGACGGAAGGCTGGCAGCTGGGAGACTAGTGCATCAGTCAGGGTCCGGTCAGAAAAAAGGGAAGCCACGGTGGGCACTTCAAACCAAGCATCTGGTCCAGAAACTGGTTGCAAAGAGGAAACAGCCGGGCCAGCCCGGTGGCTTAGTGGTTAAGTGCGTGCGCTCCGCTACTGGCGGCCCGGGTTCGGATCCCGGGCGCGCACCGACAAACCACTTCTCCGGCCATGCTGAGGCCACGTCCCACATACAGCAACTAGAAGGATGTGCAGCTATGACGTACAACTACCTACTGGGGCTTTGGGGAAAAAAAGGAGGCGGAGGATTGGCAATAGATGTTAGCTCAGAGCCGGTCTTCCTCAGCAAAAAAAAAGAGGAGGATTAGCACAGATGTTAGCTCAGGGCGGATCTCCCTCACACACACAACAAAACAGGAAACAGCCAAGGGAAGCAGCTATGTCCTTAGCACTGGGAGGACAGAAAGGGACAGAGAGGGCTTCCAGAACTCAGGAGCTCAAAGGACAGGCCCCACAGATCTCTGAGGAGGGGGTACTGTGTGGCCTCTGAGGGCGGGCAAGAGGCTGGTTCTGGAAGCACCAAAAGAAGCCTAGGACAGGAAGTAACTGCTGCTGCTGGGGTGACACTGAGAAGGACAGGAAAATAGGGGACACAAGTCCCTCCCCCTTGTCTCCCCATCTCCCTCTGGACCCGGCCACTGGCAGAACGTGTGTGCTGAGTGTCAGCCCAGAGAAACAGAGCAGAGCCAAGCGGATTGGAGCAGAAAGACGCGCTGTAAACAGCCAGCGATCGTGAGGAGAAGAGCGGAGTGGACAGTGAGGGGCCGTGCTGGGAGCCAGGGGAGAGGCGAGCTGTCTCGGCCCAGGGCAGTAGCAATGGGATGGGGAGAAACAGATTCCAAGAGTGCTTTGAAGGCAGAGCAAAGAGGGTCTGCTGGCAGGTGGGCGTGGGTGTGAGAGGAAGAGAGTGTACAGGATGACTCTAGGTTAAATTCAGGTATGAGTAGCCTGCAAGACAGAGCTGCAGATCTGGAAGGCGTGGTAGTGTCCTGGGGCTGACCACAAATGGGTGGCTTTAAACAGACACTTATTCGCTCCTGGTTTCCGGAAGTCTGAAATCAAGGTGTGGCAGGGCCACACTCCCTCTGGAGGCTCTAGGGGAGGATGCTTCTTGCCTCTTCCAGCTTCTGGGGCCCCAGGCGTCCCTGGGCTTGTGGCCGCGTCCCCTCGGTCTCTGCTCCCTCTTCACACAGCCTTCTCCTCTTCTAGTGTCTGTCCTCCGTGTGTCTCTTATAAGGACACCTGTCGCTGGACTTAGGGCCTTCCAGGATGATCTCATCTCAGATCCTTAACTTAATTACATCCGCAGAGACCCTTTATCCACATGAGGTCATATTTACAGGTGCTGGGTATTAGGACATGGACATATATTTCGGGGGCACCACTCAGCCCGCCACTGGGGCAGATCAGGCGCTCGGATTCAGACACGCTAAGTTTGAGATGCCTCTTAAATCTCCAAGTGGAAATGTGAGCAGCGTTCATTCGGAGTTGGGGGAAGACAGCAAAGCCAAGTGGAAGATAATCACTGCAAATATTGGCATTTAAAGCCCCGAGGCTGTGGGGAGGGGATCAGGCCCAGTCCCGGAAGCAGAGCCGGAGCCCAGCTGGGACCGGGACTCAGGTGCCTGTGGTTTACGGGGGGCAGCCGCTCCGTGGAAGAGTGAAGGCGCCCCGGGGAAGAGCGAGGGCGCCGCGGGGAAGAGCGAGGGGCGCAGGGTGGACTCGGAGCTAAGCCAAGACGCGGCCTTGGCTGGAAACCATCATCAGCCTGACCCCATGGCAGCGCTAGGGACAAATTTCACCGGATTCCTCCCGCCTTGAGGCAAAGGCCTGGCCTTCTGAACCTCCGCATCCCTCTGTGCTCTGTCCAAATTCCTGAGCCCCAGAACCTCTGTGCATGATAAATGGGTCTTTTATACCACAGTTTTGGGTAAATTTGTTATGCAGCCATAGAAACGGGAACAGCCCTTTTTCCCTCCGATGAATCGGAAAGCACCCGGGCATCTGGTTCCAGAGCATGAGCCTGGCTCCCATCCCACCTCAGCACTGGCCCTTTTTGTCCCCATTACCTGCAGGAAAAACACCCCCTGCTCCTTGCCAGACCAGGAGCCCAGCAGGCCCACAGCCTCCACGCCTCTGGCTGCCCTATTTCTGCCTGTTTTCTGGAATACAGGGATGTCTATCTCCTTTTGAGTGTGGCTCCATGTTTTTAAAACTTTTTCCATTTTTTTATCACTGCTGAGTGTTGGGCCAGAAATGGGAGGCTGAGCCCCTAAGAATAAACTTGCAATGTCATCTTCACCGGATGTCTCTGTTATGCCTCCTGCAAATGGGCTGCCCTCCATGACGGGGCGCTGGGGGACTCCCCACTGGGGTCTGCACCTCCCATGGCCTCTCCACTTGAGAATAAAGAACAATGATGGTGCGACCATTGTTCTCAAGCACGCCGTGGCAGCAGGTCCCAGCCTTGGCCTGGAAGACAGCTGCATCTGTGCCCCATGGGAGCAAGAGATGGGTTCGTTCCCGGCTCCGAGTGCTCTGTGCAACAACCTGCTGGCTGCCTGCGTTAAGGCGTCTTCCCGTACATTTAGGGAGACGACTGGACTCTGTAGACGATTTGCTAGGGCTTGGCCCCACGGAACTAAGTGCTGGAGGACAGGGAGGTGACGTCACCAGCAAGCCACAAGCTCTGTCCTCTTGGCTCAAAGGAAGGGTATGAAAGACAGCAGGATACTCCTTCACTCGCCAAAGAGGATGCACCAGAAATTTCCTGCACAGGCTTGGCTGTGTGATTGAGCCCTGGGTGCCCCACCCCCCCCCGACAACCTCCGTCCGTCCAGGGCCACCAGCAGCCTCCACAGCATCTCTGTGCAAATTAGAAACTCGTAGCCCTTCCTCTGAGTGGCCATAGCCTGTGTGCATGACTCGACGGGCAGGGCACAAGGCGGCTGCAGCCCCAACTCGCCCCCAAAAGCCCAACCTGCACAGCCTTACGCAGGGGCCTGCTTCTGTCCACCCCCAAGACGTGGGCAGGGCTAGCTCGGGTCAGGACCACTCTGACTGCTCAAGTTTCCCACCTTGGGGCTGAGGACTAAAACAAGTGGCATGACAATCTAAGGGCGGTTTGGGCATCGTGTTTCATAGGGAATAAAGGGGCAGGAGAAACCCTCTGCGGGTTTCTGTTTCTCTGGGTCCTGAAATCTCTCTTTCCACAAGAATCCAAGTAAGGCTGCCCCACAAGGAGAGTCACTTCTGATGTGGAGCAGACCTCAAAACAGTGGTTTTTAATCATATACCCCCCATCAACAACATATACAGAAATTACACACCATGACCAAGTAGGATTTATCCCAGGAATTCAAGGTTGGTTTAACATTCAAAAACCAGTTAATGCAATGTACCATATTAATAGAATAAACGGCAAATCCCACATGGTCATCTCGAAGGGAGAGAAAAAGCATATTCGTAGTTTAAAAAGTTAAAACTCTAATAAAAAATTTATAAATACATAAATAAAACCCCTCAGCACACTAAGGATGGAACCTCCTCAACCTGATAATGTAAACAGGCATTAGGGAATTGGTGGGGTGAAGGGCTGCACAACCCCATACATTTACTAACATCCCTTGAGTTGTACACTTGCGATGGGTGAATTTTATGGAATGATAATCACGCCCCAGTAAAGCTGTACAACAAAATAATTCATTGGCAGTTGACAGCAGGGGACAGAGAGCCGAGTGCCGGTCCCAGCAGAAAGGGGGAGAATCACAGATGAAAAAGGCAGGCAGCCAAAAACAGAGACAGAGGTGAGAGAGAAAAATAATTCACACAATGGACAACCCGTCCCGGCAGAATTAAAAATCTGCCCGCCCGGATGAGAGGTCTGCTTACGCGCTCCACTCTTCCTCCAAGCAAAGAAGTTTCCAGCCCAAATAAGGCTGCAGCTTTTGCAATGCTCCTGGCACGGAACACAGTTCCATTTAAGTGCCAGGTTATAACTCGGGCCTAAAACATCCCAAAGCAATACAGTGCCCATCAGCCCGCTCTGTTCCCTCCGGGTAACGCTCCAAACAAACCCAGGTAAACACGCAGCAGGCTGGCCCAGCGTCGCCCTTGCCCACGGGCAGGGGTGAGGAGGGTGAGGCCCGTGGCTCGGAAGGATGCCCCGTGTGCTCATGTGGAGGGGCAGGGCTCCCGCACCAGCAGCCTCAGCTGCAGCCGACCAGTTCCTGGGGCCCTGGGCGCCCTCGCCTTGGCCCCGAGCACCAAAGGCCGTTTGCTGAACCCGTACGAGGTTCACATGTCCCATCTCATGGCATCTTCACTGCAGCTCTGTGAGATGATGACAAGGACAGCAGATAGTTCCTCAGCCCTGTTTCAAGGGCCTTGTGAGTTTAAAGCATTTAATCCTCACAACAGCCCTGTGAGACAGGTCCTGGTAACTCCCCATTTTACAGATGAGGAAACTGAGGCACAAGACCACACAGCCCATACCAGCTAAATCTGGGAATGAACCCCAGGGCTGACATGCTCCAAAGCTGGGGCTCCATCCTGTGCCCTTCTGCCCCCCTCACCCCAAAAGAAGAAAATGGCAGGGCCCCTCCTCTGCGGCCTGTAGCTGACCAGCAGACCACGCTCGCAGGCTGGGAAGATGTTTGGCATGGCACATTTTTTCCTCTCTTTCAGCTACCCCGTCCAGGCCAAATTGTAGGGTATTTTTCAAGCAACCAGCTACAAACATTTTCCTAACAAGGTCTCTCCAGGATAAGAAACAGAAACTCTCTGTGCTGCAATGGTCAACTCTGACATTTTAACAATGCGTCAAAACCGGCGTGAGTGGAGGTCAGTGGTGGGGGGGAGAATGCTCCATGTGGGGGCCGGAGGGCACGATGACCACGGGCAAGCACTGTGCTGGGCACGGCCATGGAGCCTGCTAGCCCAACACACGCCGCTGCCCACCGCTCATCCCGTTGACTTCTCAGCCGGTGGGGTGGAGACTGCTCTCGTCCCCAGTGCAGACAAGCAGACAGGCTCGGAGAGGGGAAGGGATCTGCTGCAGCCACGTTCATGGAGCCAGCGCTCAGATCAGGGCCTTCCAGTTCCGGAGGCTTCCCATCACCCCAGCCCACGCTGCGGTGCCTTCCTTCCTCTACTTCAAGCTCTTCCTGGCAGGTGGCCCACAGGAAGAGCACGTGGGTGAAGGTACGGGGCCCGCTCCTTCTCTAATGAGCAGAGGTGCACCGATTCAGCACTGCCTCCATCCCGGGACTGGGTATACCCGTAAGATATACAGCCGTGGGCACAACTGGACCGGCCAAGATCCTTTTAGCTGCAAGCAACAGAAACTCAAGGCAGACTCTCCTTAGCTAAAAAAGGGGATTTATTAGTTCAGGACACTGGGAAGAATGGGGTGGGGGTCAGGTGTGGCTGCATCCAGGTGCTCAAACAACGTGATCAGGTGATTCCCCTGTCCCCATTTTGGCTCTGTTTCTGTGTTTGCCCCCTTCTGTCCTGCAGACTGGCTTCCTCTAGGAGGCAGGGAGGGTGGCTGCTGGCCACCCCCAAGGAAGAAGAGCCCACATCTTCCTTTCAGCATCTGTGTGTGGACCCCAGGGTGGAGCCCTGATGGGCCTTGTTTGGATTCTGGCCCAGCCCTGAACCTGGCCTTGCCATGGCCGGGAGAGTGTGGTTCTCTGACTGACCCAGCGTCCCTGTGGTCATGGGACTGGAGCTTATTACCGCAGAGACAGGGAGATACAGCCAGCCTCCTCAGCAGGCACAACGGCTGCCCTTCAACAACCGAGAGGCAACGCTTCAACCGCAGACCTCCCGTTCCCTCGTAAGCACCTGTTCACATTTCCACCAGCCACGGGTCGTCGAGGGCAGCGAAAACAGCAGCTGACGGCTGCGCACGCCTGCACGTGGGAGGCTCTCTGTGCCGACGGGAGTCAGCGGACTGACTGTGGGGCACTTAAATACACGTGCAAGGGGGTCCCCGCCCCTTCCCCATCCACACAATTCCATCCTAAGGCCACTTGATAGGAACAAGGCGTCCACACAAGGGGGAGGAGGAGGGGCCCCGGTGGCCCAGAGTGGCCGTCGGGCCCAGGCAGGGGGATGGGGTGTCCCCACGAGAGGGTGGCCCAGAGTGGGCATGGGGCGTGGGCAGGGGGACGGGGTGTCCCCACGGGAGGGTGGCCCAGAGCAGGCATTGGGCCCGGGCAGGAGGACAGGGTGTCCCCACGGGAGGGTGGCCCAGAGCAGGCATCGGGCCCGGGCAGGGGGACGGGGTGTCCCCACGGGAGGGTGGCCCAGAGCGGGCATCGGGCCTGGGCAGGGGGACGGGGTGTCCCCACGGGAGGGTGGCCCAGAGCGGGCATCGGGCCCGGGCAGGGGGACAGGGTGTCCCCAGGGGAGGGTAGCCCGGTGCTGGCAGAAGCAGAGTGGTCAAGTGTGCCGGCCTGGCACAGAGGACACACTGAATAAATGGTGTCTGGGACCAGCACATACGGACAGTACAAGGCTCCTGAGGGAGACTGAGGCCGACGCAGACACCCTGCATGCCTGGTCGGGGGGCTGAGGCCACGGGGACCTGAACGGCACTTACAGTGGACGCAAAGCCTGAGCGAGGAGGGTCTGGAGGGGGCGGCAGGTGGAGGGCATTATGAAAGCCGGGACGAGCTGATGGGTCAGACCCGGACTGTGAAAGCAGGGAAAGGAGACAGAGCTGAGACCACAGGGCAGACCCCCAACACTCCGGGGGCACCCCCCGCCGACGCTGGCACTTCCTCCTCCTCAGCGGCAGCCTCTCAGGCAAACGCCCCGCCCCGCCCTCCACCGAGCCTGGCCTTGCTCTCATCAGTTCACAACTCCACTCCCCAGTTTCAAACTTCCCTTCCAGTTGGTAGTCAAGTCAAGCAAAACAGGAACTTTTTCGTCCCCCTCATCCTCCGCTAACAGGACAGGGATTTCCCGACAGCGGTCTGTGCGTCCACCTTGCTGGGAGCTTCAGTGACGCCTTCCGGACGCCCTGAGTCCTTAGCACCCACGTTGGCTCATCCTGTGCTCTCGGTTCAGGAGAGCAACACTTTGAGCAAAAAAGGGGAAAGAATGTTCATTTTAGACACAACAGACTGTGGGCAGTGTGCATACATTTTTATTTAATTTTTAAATAATTTATCTCCCTTTGAAACAGATAAAACTCTGAGGCTGAAATGATACATCCACCCGAGATTCTCTTAAATACGAGTCTGTGGAGAACGCTGGAGACCATCCCTGAGAGGGCTCCAGACTGTAAGGTTAGCAATGCCGGGACTCTGGACGGCTCTTTCCCGAGATCATCCCCAGGCACAGCACAGGGAGGGCTCATACAGGCCAGGGAGCCTGTGAACCACGCTGAGGGCCACCATCCAGACCACACGGGAGCAAGGAATGGCCAGGGCTGCATCTGCTGCCCTGTAGGGGCAGGATGGGGTCACTGCAGCCACCAGGGAGCAGAAGACAGACAGAAGGTGGCCTCAGTGAAGTCACAGCTCCAACAAGGGGCAAGCTGGCCGCATGGGGCCATAGGGAGAAATAAATGGCTGGCGTTCAGACGCCGTCTCAGTGCGCGTTCACCGAGCTCTCAAGCGCCCTGTCTCATCCTCATGGGCAGAGAGCTGGCCAGCCCTGGACAGTGGGCTGTTACTTCTACGGAGCTCAGGCCTGGACGCATCTTCAAGGGAACAGACCCTTCCTGACCCTCACGGCAGCTCCCCGAGATTCAGAGGGTCGATGTCGGTTTTGACGGGGAGGGAAGGAAGAGACTGGGAAAAGGTCCAGGGCGGGAGTGAGGGAGGGGACGCGGCATGCCTGAGCCTGCCTACACCGCGTCCTGAGGAAGGGCCAACTGGTATGGATGGTGTGCCCGGGCGCCCCTCACCATCTGTCACGTTAGAGAGCCCCCTCTTCCCACAGGCGCGTCACCCCGCACGGCCCTGGTGGGGCTGTGCACCGGGCCCAGGTGCAGCCACAAGGAACGGAGAGCGCCGGGGGGCCGTCCTTCTCGCCCCTCAGCCGCCTCCTCACAGACAGGAGCTCTGGCAGCCGCGTGCTGGGAGGACCCGCCCGTCACTTTTCCCTCTCCTGCCTCTTGCTCTTCCTCTGGCTGGTCAGCTCGTCCAGCTTCTTATCCAGCCTCCTCTGCAGCTGGGCCCTCTTGGCTGGGTCCAGGGCCCCGGCCTTGGTCCCGCCGCCGGCGTAGAGGACTCCTTCCCGGCTGATTCTCTGCCGGGCGTGGGCTCGAGCCCGCTCCCCGCAGCCATGGATCTGGGGGGACACAACAGTCAGTGCTGGGCCGAGTGGGGACAAGGTCCTGCGCTTCTGCCCAGCGTGGAGCTCCGGGACCATGACGCCCCAGCACAAGGCCTCGGGGGGCCCCTCCTCTTCCCACACACAGATCCATCTCCCGCAGGCTGCCAGGCGCCGGGACGCTCCACACCCTGGCAGGGCTGGAGGCTGGAGCACCCACACCCTTCCCCCGCCCCACCCTCGGCTCAGCCGGGCCGTCCTCTGCGCAGATGTTAGTGCAGGGCTGGTTCCCCACAACCTCCCTGCAGGGTGAGCTCATTCTGTACACGGGTGACACACACATGCACACGGGCCCCCGTTTTGCATGTGCGACACATACGGTGACATGTCAACACGCTCTCTGTAAATCACGCTGGTGAGGTCACCCTGTCTTTCCGCCTAATCACTTCACGGGCACACACCCAAACTAGGATGAGAATCTCCTCTGGGAAGAAACCACTTTCTCTATGTGACCCAGATGCCAGGCCCGTCGCAGGTGCTCCTGTGACGAATATCCATCGCAGGGGACATCCGTCCTGCCACTGTTTCAGAGAAACCCTAGCATGACTCCTGTGCTTAAGAGGAGGGTGGGAAGGAGAAGGAGCAAAGAGGGAAGAGAACCCTCAGCATCTTCCAAGTGCTGGCAGCAAGCACGCCCAGTGCCCAACGTGCACGTTTCGTGGATTCCTGCTAGAAAGTGGAGGAGCGGACTGAACCCGTGACTTCTGTCCCCAAAGCCAGAGCCTTCCCTGCTGCACAAAGGAAGGGTGTTCCCTTGGGAAGTGCCAGGTGGGACGTGAGTTAGGACCCAGTAAGATCCCAGAACAGACAGCTACTCGGCTCACCCAGCCCCACGCCCCGGTCACTGAGGGCCCAGGGGCCTGCCAGCTGCCTAGGACCCACCGCACACCCTGCTCACTGGATGTCCTTACCCCCGTCCTCTGCCCGTCTGGGCTGCCCCACTCTAGGCCCGTGCCCTGCCCACCACAGCTCTCCCCAACACAGACGTGCAGTCACCCTTTCCACGTGGCCCAGGACCCACGTCCATGGTCACAACTGCTCCTCCCACATCTCTATGGGAGAGAGGCTCAGAGCCGACGCCAAGTTAATTTGCCCACATCACAAAGTGAGCGGGCGGTGGAGCTGGTGCTTGAGGCCAAGCCCCCGACACCGAGCCCTGTGCCATTTCCTCGAGCCTCTTCCCGCACGACTGTCTCAGAGCAGGGGGACTTGCATCCCCAGAGCCAGGAACTCTTGCTGGACAACACGCTGTGCTGGCCTTCCCCCAATCCTGGGACCGAGGGCACAGGGAGCTCAGGACCGGGAGCCGCTCCAGCAGCAGGAGTCGCCCAGGGGCTCCCTGCCTCCCACGGCACCACGACCAGCACGAGCTGTGCAAACTGGCCCCCGTACCTTGCGTTTGACAATTTTTAAACATTGTGGGTAAAAATCTTTCTACAACACTGTGCACTTTATCAACAGCGTGAACACAGACAGGCTGCGTGGGTGTGCGAAGGACAAGCCCCTCGCCCGGGAGGCCCCTCCTGGGTTCAGAGCCAGCACAGCTCCCCTGTGAGCAGGCAGCTATGACCCCTGACCTGGAGCGGGACACCCCCAGGACTCTGACTCAGCCCCTCCGGGATGGTGTCAGCCCAGGGTCCACACACCCTCCCCAAGATCTGCCCCTCCTCCCACCTCCGAGGGCGCCACCACCATCCCCCCGTCTGCCCAGACCAGAAGCCCGAGGACCACTCTGGTCCTCCTTCCTCTTCTCACCCGACGTACAACCAATTCACGGCCCCAAAACCACCCCTCCATGCTGTTCCCCACACCCAGGGTGGACCCCGAAGCCTCTCACCCACGTCCCTGCAGCCACTTCAACCTGCCTCCCGGCCCCGCCCTCACCTTCTCCTCACTGCAGCCAACGCTCCCACGTCCCCGCCCTGCTGAACCCTCCAGTGCTCCCCACTGCCTTCAGAACCAGGTCTGCACTCCTCGAGGCAGCTCATGGGGCCCTGCTCAGGCTCAACTCTCACTAGCCTGCCCCACACTCTCCTCCCAGCTGCCTGAACGCGCCACCACCTCTCCCCAGGGCCTCTGCACGAGCCCTGCCCCGCTCAGCTCCCCACCTTCACCCGTTAGGTCAGCCCCAGGGTTACTTTCTCCAGAAAGCCCGCTCTGACGGCTGCATCTGAGCAGCGCCCACCCCTGCTGCCAGCCTGGCCCCTGGGTCCCTCCCTCAGTGCTCAGCGCAAGGTACCAGGTACCACATGCTGATCTCTCATCCAGATCCCCCACTGGGCCCAGCGCCCACCCAGGGCAGAGACGAAGCCTACTCTGGCCCCCAGCTCCCCAGGCCTGGCAGAGGAGGTTCCCACTGACACATCCTCAGGAATGAATGAACAAGCGGCCAGGCTGCAGCCCATTTCCAACCACAGCCCCGAGGCCCCACCTCCCCTGCACTAACCCACTGACAGAACCCGAGGACACTGGCACAAGATTCCCTGCCCAGAATCCCCAGGACGTGGCTCTAACTCAGCAAATATGACACTTTACTTACTTCTACCCTGATGTGCCGAAAACAAACCATGAGTCAACGCCTGTTTGAAGATATTTAGAGCTCACGACCAGCCGCTGCTTCCATCAGGAGCACATCTGCCCTGGCTCCGGGTCCTGGAGACGCAGCCCTACCGCCCCCACCCCGGCCGCCCAAGCCCGGAGGGGCGCATACCTCGGGCAGGTGGTGGCTGAGGCAGTACCGGCGGCCGCAGTGCAGGCAGAGCTGGCCTAGGGTCACCACGCTGGCTGTGCACTTAGCAAGCCCACAGGTGTTATCAGCCTTAATGGCAGCCGAGACCAGGGCATCAAAGTCTTCCTCGGTGGGCAGATCTACGGCCGCATGTCCTGGAAGAAGAACAGCGTCACTCAGACGGGGAGGAACAGAGAGAACTCTCCACGGGGCCCACGTTCGCCCCACCGAGCAGCTGTGCCCCGGCGCCCTGCTTTCGGGTTCATGGCGAGTGAGCAAATGCAGGCTCAGTGGAGCTCGGTGTCGGTCCAGGCTGCGAGGGGCCCTTCTTCACTGAACCACTGACCACTCGCTGCTGGGGGTGTGAGCACAGCGTGGACTTCCTGCAAGGGGCTGGTGGTGCACGGAGAGCGCCTCGGAAAGCTCACCCCCTTTAGTCCAAAAAACACTCAGACACGAGGATGTTCCTTATGATGCTAACTACAAAAACAAAAAGCCAAACACACTCAACATGCCACACCGGGGAAGAGATCAGATGGACCACAGTGCATCCACGAGGTACAATGCCAGGAGACCTTAACAATTTTAACCACGGAAGTCTTTTAAAGTTATAGGAAAACGCTCAAGAGTGACGAGAGATACAAATTTCTACACGGGTGTAATTCTGTAAAATTCACGTGTGTAACACACACACACACACAGGGACGCAGATGCTCAGGCAACAGTGCGAGGGCTCTACCCCGGCGATGGTAGCGATTATCTGGGTGACATGCACAGGCAGGATTCACTGCCACTTCCGAGTTAGCCTCTGTAATGGGCCCCACGGTGCCCAGCACACAGGTCACGATGGGCAGCCTCAGGGAGGACACCAGGATAACGGCAACACCACCCAGGGGCTCCCAGGCCCCCACTGGCCTGCAAGTGCCTCGTCTGCAGCAGCCACGTCAATCCTTCTAGGCGGGCACTACTTGGCCACGGTCACCTGCAGATGGGGACACACCCCCTACCCTGTCCTCACAGACAGGCTGTAAAGCTGCCACACTCTACCACACTCACACACAGGCCCGGTGGGTGCCCGAGGTCAGGGGAGGGACACAAGTGCTGACGCCCCAACAGCAGTCCCACAAGGCTTGGAGAAGGCCCGGGAGGTGCTCGCTGCCCGCAGGCTCCCCTTCTCTCGGCAGCTGCAAGCAACCTCGGGAGACGGACAAGACAAAGGGACCAGGCAGAGGGTGTTCAGGCCCCAAACCAACACAAAATCTCATCAACACAAGTACTGGGCCCTGTCCTGCAGGACACGCACCCACGTTCCCCCTAGCCCCCCGCATGACAGGCAGGGTCGTCAGACAGCCCTCGCTCCATTCAGCAGCACCATTCTCAGCGTGGGGCTCCAGCCGTGGCCCCAGGAGCCTGCCCAGGTTGGCCTCTGCTTCTCGGCTGGGACATCGGCACAGAGCTTGGAGACCAACTGACAGGTCACGTTCAGAGCCTGTGCGGCAAGAGGGATTCTGAAGGCAGCTGCCTGAGGAAATGCTCCTAACCCTGAGTGGCGCCAACCTCCCCGAAATGGGGTGAAGTCCCCCTAGGATGCTCTGTCCTCAAATGATCATGCCGCAAACCTTCTCCCAGAAGGAAGGCCAGGCCCTCCGGTCATTCCCGCTGGCATCAACCCTTCACAGGGTCTACCATGTTCTCAGCATGCTTTAGGAAGGAGTTGAGCATCTCTTTCCCCCGCCAGAACACCAGCTCCTGGAGGGCAGGGGTGGCATCTGCCTGTGCACTGGACAAGGCCTGGTGCACAGCAGCTGCTCACTAAATACCGCAGAGCGAAACCAGCCAGAGCCTCAGACTGGAGGCTGGTTTCAAAGACCCCAAATTATGCTGATGCAGCTTTGCTCCCAGGAACTACATGATAAAAGGGAACCTGAACGGCTTCATGGTCCTGCTGAGAGGGAAATGGTTGTGACAAGATGTCTCCAGAAAATCCAAGCTGTGATGCCACGACGCTCATCAGAGTGTGGGATGGGGCGCCCTGGCACAACAGCAGAGCATGTGGTCCTTCCTGGGACGCAGGACAGCTGCCATGTGAGCCCGTGTGGGTGTCTGAGTGGGAAGGAGGGCTGTCGCTGCAGCAGGGGGGCCTGTGAGCACTCTTCCATCCCCAGAGGGCTCCTAGATGCCACCCCCGCCTGCTCTCAGGCCCTTCCCTGCAGTCAGTGCCCGAGAGCTTCCATCTGCCAGGCCCTGCACACGGCTCTGCGGACGCGAGGGTCACCATGACCAGGCACCGCCCTCAGGAAGCTCAGTCCAAGCCCATTAAAAATAAGGCACAAAATGCAGAATCAGGACGGTGGCAGCACCAGGAGGAAGTCCTAATTCTTTTTTTTTTTTTGGTGAGAAAGATTAGCCCTCAGCTAACATCTGTTGCCAATCTTCCCCTTTTTGCTGAGGAAGATTGGCCCTGGGCTAACATCCGTGCCCATCTTCCTCCTGCAAGTCCTAATGCTTTTCGAGGGAGGCAGGTGGGTTTCAGGTGGGGCAAACACCCCAGTTTAGGGCACAGCATGCCTGTGTCCTTGTTAGTTGACTGACTTACCTTTTGCATCTTTCTTCTTCTTCTTTTCTGGCAACTTCCGCAGCCCTGAGCTTGTGGCCTGCTGCCCCTCCTTGGCCTGCCGCTCCTGCCTGCTCCTCTCCCTCTGCAGTCTCTCCAGGTGCAGCGCCTTCAGATCCAGCTGCTCCCGGCCGCTTTGCTTCTGGACTGGGGGCTCCATCTGTGCGGGACCAAGAGGTGCTTTGCTGCCGGCCCCTGGTGGAGGTGGTGGGGCCGGCGGAACCCTCTTGCTCACGGTTATGAACCTCTGCTTCCCCTCCCCAGCGCTGTCATGCCTCAGCCCATGCTCCTCGGCTATCTGGTGGACCCGCATCCTGTCGTGTGAGTTCAGGGAAGCAGGAAACTCCAGCTGTGTTTTCTCACTCGCCACAAACTCGGCGATCACGGCCCTGAAGTGGTCTGCGCTGTCTCTGCTCCCCGCTCCCTCGGGGCTGCCTCCGTTGAGGCTGGGCTGGCCCAAAGGCTTCCCGCCCGGCTTCTTCCCATCCAGCTTCGCAGCTGTCCTGGCCCCCCGGGCTCCCTCCTGCTGCCTGCTTCCGGGAGCCTTCCCAGCAGAGGCGGCAGAGCCCTGGGGCTTTGCACCAGAGTGGCCAGGGCCCTGGGAGCTCTCGTGGGAATAGTTCTCAGGGACGATGTCATCCAGATACTCAAAGGCCGTGCGCACTTCCCCGTGCTGCGTGAAGTAATCCACCAGGGTCTTCAAGAAGGTATGGTTGTTGACCGTGCGAGAATCGCAGACGACCGCCACGTGCCGCCGAGCGCGGGTGACGGCGACATTGATGCGCCGGTCCTCGGCAAGGAAACCAACTTCACCTGAAAGGCGAGCCAGGGGTGAGTGAAAGGGCAGATCTAAGACTAGAGAACAGAGAGCCAGACTCCCCCGCCCTCATCAGTAACAATCCCCTAACAAGTCAGCCTCCTGAGCCACTGGCCACCCTCCCTGTCTCCACGTACCATGATTCACCCCACACTGCTGACAGATCCACCACATGAAGGCACCAACGGGCCGCCAGGTCATCCTGGTGGCTCACCACTGCTTATCATGTGGTCCCACGGCACCCAGTGGGATTTTGGTAGCTATCAGACTGCTGCTCATTTCCAAGTATGTATGGACTCCTCCTCCCTAAGCCTAGACCTAGGAGACAGCCCGGGGGACGTGGCTGCAGTTGATACACACGGGAACACGCAAGGGACATTCCAGCATCTTCTCTCCACTGCAGCTTATCCCACTGCTCTCATCTGTTTTCAACCTTGTACTGAAAACATTTTACAAAACCCATTAACTAAAAACCATCCTGGGTTCAATTTTCTTACCAAATGGGATATCCACAGCCCCGGAGGCATCAAAATCACACCCTGAGGCTGAACCCGCCTTGAGACCAAGAGACCACCTCTGGGCTTTAGGGGGCTCTGCCTCCTCAGCAGGGTCCTCGGCCTGCGCTCCCAGCCCACCACCCCAACTGCACACTCGTGTCTCTGAACCTCCACCCTCTGTTCCCTCTGCCTGGAACACCTTTCCCCACTCGCTCCCCCAAGCTGACTGGCTCATCAGCTCAGATGTCCCCTCCACAGGACCACTTCCTGCCACCCCATGTGGTGCCGACCCCTGCACAGGTTCCTGTCAGAGCTCCCGTCACACCACACTCCTGCTGGCCTTCCCGTTAGGCCCTTTGCTTGACAGTGAGCTCGTGGAAGACAGAGACTGCTCCACTGCCACAGCCCAGCCACCAGCACAGCCCCTAGCAGGACTCCAGCATGCCCTGAGTGAACAGCTGACTTCCGTTCTCCCCCAAAGGCCTCGCACAGGCATACGCACCCTTCCTATTGGATCTGACGAAGGACAATATCACGGCTTCCTTCTCCCGGCCTTGGAAGCCATCGACGGACTTAATCTCCAGCTCGGGGTGCCTGTGAGCGAGGCTCTGTCTGAGCAGGTCCACCTGGAACAAGCGAGGCCGCAGCCACGTCACCACCCGGGCCAGGCGGCTCCAATACTCTGCTCGTCAGCTCGGCAGTGGGCCTGGCGCTACAAAACCGCCACGACCGTAGGGGAGCCCCGCAGGGAAAGTGTCTACAACCGCCCTTCTCACGGGCATGCAAATGAGCAGACGAAATACCACGTACACAGAGCAAACACTGCCCCAAATAACACGTACACACAGCAAATACTGCCCCAAACCCCAGCACTGATATTCTATCACCTCTTCTGGCTCACGACAGTCCCCCCGCCTCTGACACCCCTATGTGCGATGCCTGTAAACCAGGGAGGGCAACCAATCCATGGACCTCGCAACACTCTGAAGCAGGTGCGTTTTCCTACCAAAAGAGACAGGATCTGCTTCATAAGCGCACAGGCACGGAGAGAGAAAATGCAAGAAAAACCGACGAGGAGGGAGCAGACGTCGTTGCTTCTGCTGGCCCACTACCTACACTCTCCAAGACACAGCAGCACCTCTGATTTTCCTTCAAGAAACCCCCACTCCCATGCTCAGTCCTACAGTGTCCCATGAAGCCGAGCCCACCCAACCGCAGAGATGGGCGAGGACCAGCTCCCCACCACAGCGACTGACTCAGGGATGGGGACAGCCTGAGCCAGACCATGAAGATCCACAGCCGAGACTGTGGGGAATGCCGTAAAAGGCCAGGCTCCTCCCAGGACTGCCCATGTAAGGACACCGTCAGCCCAGGGTTGCCCAGCCACCAGGGAAGCTGGCCTGCAGACGAAGACAACAGGGACCTAGGCCAAGAGATCCGGACAGGCGGGGCTGTGGCAGAGCAAGGGAGACAGACAGACGGACAGATAGACAGACAGAGGCTCTAGCTGATACCGCCTGAGCCCTGGATCCAGTCGTGATGCAGTCAATTCCACCCTGGAGTTTTCGGTCACAAGAGCCAATAAGTCACCCTTTTTCTTGAGCCACTCTGCAGTGGCTGAGTCCCACTGATACACGCAGAGAGGGACAAAGGGGCCCTCTCGCACCTGGAGGTTGTACGGTGTGATGACAGCAATGTCACGTGCTTGGACGCCAGCATCCACCAGAGCCTGGATGTGCAGAGTGACGAGGCGCACTTCACCTGGAGGGACACAAACAGGCTTTCAGTACAAGGGACACTGAGCTGACATCCACCCCCAATGCTTGTTTTCGTAAGCACTTTTCTGACTATTACGACGAGCTGATCTTTTGTGGTGCCCGAGGTAGCATCCTGGGAACTAACAATCTGAGTCAGAGGGTTGCCTGATTTAGCAGACACAGGACGCCCAGCTGAACCTGAGTTTCCATCAACAGTGAACTAAGTACGGCCGTGGGTCCTCCATTCACCGTGGCAGCCCTGTGAGCGGAACCCAGCAGTCTGGTACCATTGGCTGAGCAAAGTCCTCGTCCCAGGGCTACACCAGGCAGTGCTGGGCCACTTCACTCAGAACGAGAACATAAACCCTGCCCTGGCCTGCATATTCTCCTGGATCAGTGCTGTTTGCTCGTTGAGAGGAACATTGATGGTTTCAACCTTCTAGAGCATCTGGCTCAAACCTCCCACAGCCCGTCAGTGATGTGCTCTCCCCTTCTCTCCCCTCTCCTTTCACTCAGCCCCTCTCTGAAGTGGGCAATCTGGAGGGACTTCTGCTGTTAGAGAGGAGCTCGGGGGTGTTTAAACAAAAAGGCTGACCCTTCCCAAGCAGGCTCACCAGGGTTCCCTTTAGACTGGTCATCCTCCTCTTCCAGCTCAAAGAGCCCGCAGCCGGCCGTGTCCACCAGCAGCAGGGGAATGCCCGTCTCCTCTGTGGCAGCCACGCCCGGGAGATCCCTGCACACAGGCGGAGACTGAACAGTGAGGCCCGAAGGAAAGCAGTGCTGAGACCCTAAACCAGAGCTCGCCTCTCCACTCCCTGCAGCACTGGCCCTTACACAGGAAAACGGGGTCCCACCCCACACACCAGCATGAGGAACATCAGAGACTTGGAGCAACTCAAATCCAACCCTCAGGGCAAGGCCATTCTCCTTTCCGAACACCAGGCCTAGAGGCGACTTTTACTCTAAAATCTTTACGGAACACAGTTCACGTGACACAGGGGGCTCAGGCGGGAAGAAGGACAAGACAGGAGAAGCTGGGCGGGGGTGTAACCAAGTCACTCACCGCAGCAGGTGCCCAGCCACGGAAGGGTGTGCCGTGAGCTGCCCGCGGTACAGGGCCTCCGAGGCCCACTGCATGATGGCCTGGTGCATGCGGTACTGCACGGTCAGCGTACGCACCACCCTGGCGCCGTACTCCCGGTCCAGGCGCTCCATCAGGCTGAGCGCCAGCCCAGCCTGCGCGGCCCTGCACCAAAAGGAGAGGAACCGAAGGAGGGCCTGAGTCCCCCAGTCCAGCTGAAACCAGGGCCAGGGAGGAAGTAGTCCTCAGACCTCAGAACCCACTCTCTCCCCAGCTCTGACCTAGACCAAGGGTGTGGTCGGCCGAGTAATGGCCCTCAAAGCTGCCCATGCCCTAATCCTGGGACCTGCGAATACGCGACCTCACACGACAAAAGGGACTTCGCAGAAGTTAAGGATCTGAGACGGGAGATGATCCTGGACAGTCCAGGTGGGTCCAGTGTAATCACGAAGTCCTCATGAGAGGGAGGCAGCAAGGCCGGAGTCAAAGACGATGTGAGGAGAGAGAGAACGGAAGATGCTGCACTGCTGGTTTTGAAGGCAGAGGAAGGGCCACAAGTTAAGAAATGTGGGTGCCGACAGAAGCTGGAAAAGACAAAGGAGGGGATTCTCCCCTGGAGCCTCCAGAAGGAATGTAACCAACACCTTCATTTTAACCCAATGAGGCTGATTAGGAACTGCCAACTTGCAGCACAGTAAGATAATAAACCTGCATTGTTTAAGTTTGTGGTAAGTTGTTACAGCAGCAACAGTAACCAATACAGATAAATTTTTAAAATTCCGGTATACTGCAGCCATGAGCGGTCCACTACTGTGGTGACAGTAGGTGACACTCACTGAGTGTTTCCTACGTACCAGGCTCTGCCCTCAGCACTTCACACCTGTCGACTCACCCGACCCTCACACAACCTTACGAGGCCATCACTGTTGCACTCCCCATGTTCCGTAAGAGGAGACAGAGACACAGAGAGGTTAAGTCACCAGCCCAAGGTCACCCAGCCCATGAGCTGCAGAGCCAGGCAGCCTGGCTCCAGGCCACCTTCTTAACCACTACGGCACACCGTCTCTCTCCACGGTGATCATACTAAGAGCACGGAAAGCACCTAACCCTACCTCAGGGGTCCTCCCTCTGTGAACTTCTCAGACCTCTGTGGTTAACCTTTGTAATAAAGATATCTACTAAAAACGATTAGTGCCGAAGAAGTGAGGGGGTGAAGTGACTGCCAGTCCCAACTGTACCCCTAGAAATACCCAGCACAACCCCACCCCACACTCCCCCGTCACCGACCTTCTCCAGGGACACGGCAGGTCCCCACTCCCCGAGTTCTCCACACAGAGGCTTTCTGGGGCACAAAGCCCTCCTTTAAGGCCCCCTTGGGAGCTCCTCTGGGAACAAGTCACTGAATGAACACGCACTGAGCCCCCCTCTCCTGGAGCCGATTCCCTCCCCTGGAAGCATTTCTCCCCCAGGACAAGCTTCCCTTTATTCAACCCCAAACGTCTCCCGCCCGAATCCTCACTCTGAAGTACCAGGTTGGATGCCCTCGTTCTGAGGGACCCTAACCTAACCACCCTCAGCTCCGGGGTCCCCACACCCCTCCGGGGAGGCTCCACCTGACGGACTTTCCTGCACATCTTTTTCTGGTCCTCAGAAAACAACGAGAGTCCCAAGGTCAATCATGACTTCTACACACACAGTGAAGCAGAGAACAGTCTCAAACAGCACCAGAAAGAGGAAGAAAGGGATCTTCAAGTGACCCGGGAGTCTCGAAGGGTCTCCTTCCTCTAGGATGTCCTTTGGGACACGGACTCTGCAGCTGCACCGTAAAAGAGCGGTTTGTTCAAAGACACTCACGTGCCAGGCTCTGTCCCCAGGCCTCATGTGACCCACACTCTGGTGGGGAAGACAAACGAATGGAACAGAGGAACATACACCACTGCGGGGAGCGACGAGTGCTACAAACACTAAGTAAGCTCAATAAGGGGCCAGGTGACAGGGACACGGTTTAGATGGGCTGGTCACAGGGGAGCAAGCGGAGGGTCCACCTGAGAGAGAACTACATGAAGAGAGGGCGTGACCACCCGATATCCAGGGAAGGAGCAGTCCAGACAGCGGCCAGCAAGGACAGAGGAGGCCAGCGTGGCCGGAGCAGGGAGTGAGGGGGAGTGCTGGGAAATGAGGAAAGGAGAGGGGCTGGGCGGGGCAGCTCGTCCCCCCACCCAGGGTGGAGCCTGTGCTCGGTCTCAACACCAGGGAACACCGCGTCTCTACAGCGGGCACGATCGCACTTACTAAGTCACTCCTCGTGTTCTAGGGCTCAGGGAGTCCCTGGCTGGGCTGTGAGCTCACCAACCCAGAGGTCAGTTAGCACAGCCCACAGCAGCGGCTCTCACAGGCCTCCACCCAGCATGAACGCGCGATCAACCTGCCTCACTCACTGGGGACATTCAATTCAGCAAGGGTGGACCGAGAGCATGCCAGGTTCTAAGGCTACAAAGACGATCACCATACAACCCCTGACCTCGTAAAGATGAACTCCATCCGACCCCTGACCTCATAAAGATGAACACCATATGACCCCGACCTCAAAAAGATTGAACTCCATCTGACCCCTGACCTCAAGGAGCATACGGTCTGACAGATGAGACGTGTAAATGAGTAAGTGCCATACAATGGGGTAGGCGCCATAATCAGGAAACGTGCAGAGGAGGGCATATCCAGGGCCTCCTGGTGAGCCTGGGGCTTCTGGACTGGACTTTGAAGGACGGACCAAAGGGGTGGCGGGCGAGGGGCAGAGACAGGCCCTCAGGCAGAGGGCTCGTACTTGTGAGAGACGGTGGTGGGGGGCAGCTGTTTGTGATCTCCGGCCAGGATGCACTTTCTGGCCTTCAGCAGGGGGATCCAGCAGCTGGCTTCGAGGGCCTGGGCACACTCATCGATGACCATCACATCAAAGTAGCTGTCGGGCAGCAACTTCAGAGGGCCGTCGGAAGAAGCACCTGGCAGAAATCAGAACCATCAGCCTTTACAGAAGGCGCTGGCTGTGTCCCAACAGCTGCAATCACCCCGAAAGAGGCAACAAGCCAGGCGTTTCACAGTCTAGGCTTGCACTGAGACTGTGTGTGATAAACTTGCATCTTGGAATAAAAACTTGGGAAGGACATTAAAAAGCTTACGGTGCCAGCCCACTTGTGTTTAAATGTGCAGCAGTGTGTCCCTAGCCACAGGCCACCCCAACATTTCAATCACTAAAATCAACCCCTCCTTTGGGCCCAGGACCCCAAATCCTGGAAGGTTGTCTTATTTCTAAATATTATTTCTGTATCATTTTCTGAATTTAGAATTTAATTGTCTCCTCTAAGGTGTTTTCTTGTACACATAGAACAATTAACCGCTGAGAATTCACTAGGGGAAAAAAACTCCGTGCATTTGACGACATAAACCACCATACCAGCTCCTCCTCCCTGGCACGCAGAGCAGTACATGGAACAAGTCCAAGTGCGAGCAGGACCTGAGCCCCATGCCAACTCTTGCAAACTGCAGTGCGGCCCCGGGCAAGCCACCCAACCCCTGCACCTCATCTGCAAACGTGGAGAATACCTGCGTCTCACAGGATTGTCACGATGACTAGAAACTAATATAGCACATGTATGTCAATAATATATATAAATCATATAAGGACATACATAAAAATTTAACACATACTTAACAATATATATAAAGTGTCTACCACAAGAAGGCAGGTTTTAATAAATGCTATGAATGTTAGTTCTTGCCCTTCTCCCCCTTGGTTAATTATACTAAGATAGATAGATAGATAGATGCATACATGTTATTTGATGACTAAGATATGTATCTTGATGAATTTCCCAAGACTGATTCTTAGGAAATGGTCAGAAGAAGTGTCCACAGAAGAAGGAGAACTTGGACCGGGCTTTGCAGAACTAAGAGGCATGTTTAGACTGTGGACGTGACTTCACGGTGCAAAGGGAAGCACTTCCAGGAAACTCACTCTAGTTCCCCAAGCCAATCGGGAGAGACCTAAAGGCCACACATTGACCTTGCAGTGGGGGGACGGGGAGGCCAGCTGCCTTGTGATTTCCAGAAAGTGCTGCATTTAAAGTAGGTCGGAGAAAGACGTCAGCAAAAACGGCTGAGTAAGGACCTCTGAAAATTCTCTCCTCCACTAAAGCAACGAGAAGACTGAAAAAATTGTCAGAATCAACTTTTTCAGAACTCTAGAAATTAACCAAAGGCTTGCAGTAATGTGGGAGCTTTTATTCAAAAGAAAGGCTAAATCTGGGCAAGAGCAGCAAGCTTTGCGGTACTCCTGTGGACCAGGCGCTGCTGCCCAGGTCCGCGGCAGCTTTGAAACCAACGGCCTGCTATCACAGTGAAAACCAGCAGCCTGACAGAGCTCCTTCAAAGCCCCGTTCCCAGAGAAGTGTCATTATCTGAACCGTCTGCTGGTTCCTTGGAAGATCCCACTCACACCACTGTCTTTCTCTGACCTGACCTGGAGCTCACCCAGTGCAAACAGCCCTTCCTCTGGGGTTGTTTGGTGAAAACAATCAGAGGCGATTGTTGAACATCAGAGCTCTCTGACCTCTGGGTAACAGGTGCAGCAAATGATAGGATGACCAAAAAGCTTCAAAGGAAAAGCTAGGCAATGAGATATCCACGAGGTCTCTGAAAACCTCTGACATATTCCTGGGAATCTAGAAGGCCACACACATGTAGGGCTGTGTGCACACTCAGGCAAGACCCAAGGAGGCCCTAAGTGTGCACCTCTGGCTCACCTTGAGGCTCTGCACAAGCAGGAAGTGAAGGGTGAGTTGTAAACTGCCTGGCTGAGCAGTGAAAGTGCGTCCTGATACACACAGACACACAGAGCCCCTCGGCAAAGATGGGAGACTTACCGGTTCCAGGAGTTGAAGGAATCTATCTAATCACTACCTGACCACCAAGCTAACTGAGCAGAGGCTTCAGCAGCCAACCAGGATAAAGAACACAGACTCTACAGAATCAGCTCAGACAAGTCACTAAACAAACAAATAATAACAGAGCAGCAACAACTAACCCCCTGGAGGGAAGAGAACCTCATTTCTAGAGGTGCCATGGTATGTTGTTGTAAATGTTCAGGCTTCAACGGAAAATTACAAGACAAACAAGGAGACACAGTACAGCCCCCACACGGGGAAAAACAGTCACCAGAATTTATCCCTGAGAAAGCCCAGATGTCGGTCTTACTAAACATCAGCGATTTTAAGTATGTTCAAAGAGCAAAAATAAACCACATCTAAAGAAATAAAGGAATGTATGAGAACGGTATCTCACCACCTAGAGACTATCAATAAAGGGACAGAAATTATAAAAAAAAGAAACAGAAATTCTGCAGTTGAAAAGTACAATAACTGAAGCTCATTGGACGGGCTGAACAGCAGGGCAGAAGAATCAGCGAACTTTCCAGAGAGAAAAAGAACAAAGGAAAACGAAAGACCTCAAAGACCCATGGAACACCACCAAGTGCATCAGTAGCCACATAACAGGAGTCCTGGAAGGAAAGAAGAGAAAAGGGCAGAAAGAATGTTTGAAAAGCTAATGGCTGAAAACTGCCCAAATTTGATGAAAACATTAATCCACACCTCTAAGGAAGTTCACAGACTCCAAGTGGTTTACTCAAAGAGCCACACTGAGACACATCATGATCAAGCCGTCGAGAAACAAACAAAGCAGGAACTGGTCCCGTACGAGGGATCCTCAGTATGATTAACAGCTGCTTTCTCGTCAGACACTTTGGAGGCCAGAAGGCAGGGGATGACATGTTCATAGTACTAAGAGAAAGACTGTCAACCAGGAATTCTATCCAATAAAATTATCCAACAAAACTATCCAACCAAACTATCATTCACAAACAAAGGAAAAAAAAAGATATGCCCAGATAAAGAGAAGCCGAGAAAATTCATTGCTAACAGACTTGCCCTTCAAGAAATACTGAAGGGAGCCCTTCAAGTTGAAACGAAAGGACACTACACAGTAACTCAAATCCACAATAAGAAATAAAGAGTAAAGACAGTCACAAAGGTAAATATAAAAGACAGCATGGAGGGATTTCTGCATGTAATTCTTCTTCTGTCTTATTTGATTCAGAAGACAACTGGACAAAATGCTAATTATAAGCCAGAGTCTGGACTCTGTGTCTCTGTCCCCATGGCCCTGGCCTCCTGGTGTTCACGCCTTGTGCAATCCCTGCCCTTGTGTGGGCCAGACCTGCGCCTTGCTTCTAACCAACAGAATACAGCAAAGGTGATGGCATGTCACAGCTGATAACATTATCTAAGATTATGACCCCTCTTGCTAGAAGACTGTCGCTTGCTGGCTTTGAAGAAGTGGCCATGTGGGAAGGTCTAAAGCAGCGAACAGCAGTCTCCTGCTGAAGTGGTGATTTTAACACAAGACAAAGCAGATTTCAAAAACAGAACATTACCAGGGATAAGAAAGGTCATTTCATAATGATAAATTGGTCACTGAATCAAGAGGGCATAACCTAACATTTATGCCCCTAATAAAAGAGCTTCAAAAGACATGAGGCAAAAATGGACAGAACTTCAAGGAGAAATAGACAAATGTACAATTATAATCAGAGATTTCAACGCTCCTCTCTCAATAAGTGACAGGACAAGTAGATTAGGTAAAAAAATGAAATTAAAGGGAAATTAGACAGTATTTCACAATGAATGAAAATGACACACAGCACATTAGACTTTGTGGGATGCCACACAAGCAGTACTTTGGGGACGTTTATAGCGCTAAACGCCTGTTTCAGAAAAAAAAGACACATCTCAAGCCAATGACCTCACCTTCCATCTTAAGGAGAAACAGAAGAGCAAATTAAACCTAAGTGAGCAGAAAAGGGAAATAATAAGGATCAATGCAGAAATCAATGAAACAGAAAACAGAAAAATAGAGAAAACCAGTGAAACAAAAAGCTGGTTCTTTGAGAAGATCAATAAAATCAACAAACCTCTAGTCAGAAGATCAGAGGAAAAAGAGAGGATGCAAATGACCAGTATCAGGAATGAACAAGGTAACCACCACAGATGCTCTGGATATTTAAAACACTATAAGGAAATATTATGAGCAACTTTATGCCTACAAATTCAATGACTTAGATTAAACAGACAAATTTCTTGAAAGATACAAGCTCATCAAGAACAGGGAAACTGGTACCTCTCTATCAATTAAAGAAATTGGATTTGTAGTTACAAACCTCTCTACGAAGAAAACTCCAGGCCCAGAAGGCTTCACCGGTGAATCCTACCAAACTTTGAAGGATAATTCTACACAAACCCTTCCAGAAACCTGAGGAAGAGGGAACACCTCCCACCCTCGCTGAGGCCAGATGGAGGGATGGAGCCTGCCCCTCACCACCTGTATTTGTTGCGAGGACCACGTCTGCCGACGTGAGGCTCTCCAGCATAGCCGCTTCCTCTCGCTCCTTCAGTTCTTTCCTTAACAGCTTGATTTCATTTCGAAAATTACTTTTCTCTCGCTTATCCTGGGTCTTTTTGTTTTTTACCTATAAAGGAAAGCCAAGAAAATGGAATTATTTGGACATGACCTTGTACTTATTTAGCTCTTTTCCATTCACGAGGTGCTTTTATTTACAATCAGTTGGTCCACTTTAGTCAGTTCCTCAAAAGACAGTAAAAGTCAAAACTCTTTACTGAAGGAGAAGAGCTATACACAGGTGACGAAGCACCTGACATCCTGCCTGACCTGAGAGCCACTGTCACCTGCACGGGGACAGGCAGAAGGGAAAGCCTAGGTCCTCGAAGTGGACGGTGTTTTAACTGTGAACTCAGATGAGACCAGACATTGGCTGCCAGCCCTGCCCCGCACAGTCACAGATATGTTCTCCGGGAAGAAACAGCACCTGCTCGTCCCAGGACTGGGGTTTGAGCAGCTGACACACGGAGAGGCTGAGCTCCACTTCTCGTTGCACACTTGTCAAGAGATTAAAAACAATTTCTTCAGCCCATAAAATGCTTACCTGAACCCCAACTAACTTGAATACTCAAAACGACACATAACCCCTTCCTTATCTGTGATTTCTGCTTTGGAGGATGTGGTTGTGGCAGGAGTGACAGGAGGGATTTTATTGCGCCTAACTTACAGAGAGGAAAACTCTGAAAAGCACTGATTTTAAGGAAAATGAAATCACCCACACCTGGGATGGAGCAAATACGACTGCTGCGTATTCCTGTACGGCTGTTGCTGCGTATTCCTGTACGGCTGTTGCTGCGTATTCCTGTACGGCTTTTAACTTGAGCAACCTGCGTTTATTCTGTTCCCGGACCTGCTATTCCCATACAGCACCCCATGTGCTACCCTACTACTCCGCAGGCCCACAAGAAAGGCCGACTCGCCGCAGCAGCCCTGTGAGGCCGGGACACCAAGGAGCACCAGCGGGAGGCCAGGAGACCGCTGATGGTGGGCAAACACAGGGCAGGACATGCAGCGAAGGAAATTCAGGTGAACATGTATACTAGAAACCAAAGAGCTCAAAAGTACTGGACCGCCAGAGAAAACGCCATCTCAAATTGACCTATCACCAACTGCGTTCTCTTTCACGAGGATAATGCAAAATGGACCAAAAAATTGGGAAGGATGCATATTTCCTCAATTTTTATTTTCAGGCTGCTTTTTTTTGCTTGCCAATATGACCCAGACAAATGACCAGACATAAGGAATGCTTAAGAGAAATGTTTTCTTTAAGACAATTCCTTACCTCCTCGTAAAACTACCTTGAAGACAGCCGAGTCCCTAATAAATGCTGAGTATAGGTCTCCATCAAAAATTGGCAGACCCAATGTTTACAATTCTTGAATGGATGGAAGCCAGAGAAAAGCAAGAACACAGATACAATTCACTCCTTGAAAAGGGTGCAGATGGAAAACCACACGTAAAGCAGACAGCGGCTCCGGGACACATACAAAGACCTGATCGATGTCCTTCCTGATATCGGCAACGATCTGGGCGTTGTCACTCCGAGCTAACACCGCATCCAGGGAATGCTGCTGAATGGACTCCAGAAGCCGGGCAGGGTGCCCGAGGCGCAGGATCCTTTGCTTGCACTGAGCCAGACGCTCCACCAGATTGTCCACGGCGATGTTAGAGGGCGCGCAGCACAGCACCTGGGGAAGCAAGGCTTAAATTCAGGTTTGCTGATTTTTCAATGAAACCACTTAAGTTTACACTAGAACAAACAGAAAGCCTTACAGGTACAGAGAGGCAAGCGGAGCGTGTACAAGTGGGAGTGTTAAGGGTAAGCACACAGCTGTAAGGATGGGCGAAGACGCCTGAAGGACACACAGCACTGTGCGCTGATACGACACCTGGGTGCCTAGGATTCAGGTCCTAAGAACCTTCAGTCTCCAAAGCACCAGAAACGTTAAGTGACCTGCAACTGGAAAGAAAAGGACTCAAATACCAAAGAGTGCCCTGAATAATCGGAGCTGGGACATCCACTTACCACCAATCATTTTGTCATCTGACAAAGTGGAACAAGGGAAAATCTTTCTGAATGGGCTCCATCGTGCTCCCAGAACTGCAGTCCCACTACCAGGGACAGGTGGCAGCCAGCAGAGGAGGCAGAGAGGAGAGTCCTGTTCACCCCCAACAGGTGGCCGACCCTCCCCACGTCCTGGCATCACCTCCACCTGCATGGAGGTGGCCAAAGGCACACCTGCGCCCGAGCGTGAACACAGGTGTGATCTGTCTGTTTACTGACACAGAAGGCACCCAATTAAACCACCAAATCTGCTTCCTGCCAATAAGTCATCTTTTCATCAAGCTTCAACTGCCTGTGCCAAGACATTCCTTTATAGGAAACCACTGGACGTAGTTTTGGAAGCGAGCGACAGATTCTGCTGCAGCTGTCAGAAGGAGTGCTTCTGCCCAGAGAGGCGTGTGGCCTGGAACAGAGGCTCTGGAGGGAACGTCTGCCCGGGCTGAAATCCTGGCCCTGCCCCTCACTGCTGAGTGGCTGGAGCATGCGACCTTGTTTCTCAGTGTCCTCTGTAAACTGGGGCCACGGACCATCACTGACACCCAGGGTTTCTGTGGGATTAAACGAGTGCATGCATGGAAAGCACTCAGAAGGGTGCCTGGTTTACAAAAAGCACCCAGTAAACATCGACCTACAAATGTTGGCCATTATTTTTCCAATTCTCATCATTACCCAACATTGATAAACCAGAAAGATACTTTAAAAAGCTTTCTGTGTGTTCAGAATCCAGGATGACTTGTGTTGATGCA